AATATAATCTATATAGTATCTCAAAAGTTTTTTCTGAAATTTTTGTTATACACGATCCGCCTACCGGCCACGCTTCCGCACCCGAATTCGATTCGGGAACCAACAATAACAGAATCTTCTGGAAGCACTTAGGTTTGTAATTTACTATTCCTAGCTACTGTACTCTTTTTTTCTTCGCTAAGGTTTTGTCCTGATCTCCCCACGGGTTTTACTTAGCAAGGTTTTTAACGAGACAGACATTTATGTGTACTCCTATTACGTCAATTCAATAAAATCACATCTTTTGGGGCATTTGATATTTTTTTAATTAAATTTAAAAAAAAAATAAGGGCCGGGGCCGGCCCGTGAAGGGCCTGGGCCCAGGCCCGGCCCTGGCCCTTATGGACTAAGGCCAGGGCCTAGACTGGGCCTGAGTTTTTCTTCTCAGGCCTGGCCCAGGCATGGCCCTGCACTATGCAGGGCCGTGCCTGGCACGGCCCAGGCCCGTGATGGGCCTGGGGTCAAGCGTGCCGTGCTGGCCCGGCATGGCACGTTTGACAACACTACTGTCTCCTTCTTCTTCCATTTTTTCACTTTTTTTGACGGGTCTTTTTCCCGCTTTTATTTTATTGACTATAATTGACAAATACATTTGCGCTAATGCATCGGACATAATAGGACCTCAGAAGATTGTCGGTAGGACTTATTCATTACACAAAAATGTATCCCCTTAATCACAGAACAAATAAATAAAAAAATAAAATGTCATTAAAATCTAAGAGAAAAAAACAAATAGAAAGAGGGTCCACAATTTGGTGGTGTATATAGGAGAGTAAAGCCAAATAATTGGGAAAAGATAATGGAATCGGTAGTTAAGTATTATCATTGGGTGGGTAAGAAGAGGGAGATTTGGACAAAGAGAAATTGCAAAACCCCTTAAACACTTCTGGTTTTTTCTTATGAATTGTGCAACACCCATTCTAATTCAATTATTTCGTACTAATTTATGTAACATAGAGTTATTATTTATTTTTCGCTAATAGAAGTAATTATTTATTATTAATCAATGTAAATATTTTAAATAACTATTAATAAATAAAAAGATTACCACTCATACATCACGTAAATTAATACAAAAAATTAAATTAGAATTGATAATTCTAACATTATTCTTATCTTATTTTTCTTTTCCTTTTTTTATGGGAATTTTTCTTCTTTCCCTCACATAAAACACAAATCCAACGAGTCATTGAATTCGCCCTCCACCGACAGGAAGGGTGTCATTAACGGGTCCACAGTACAGCCTTTGCTGTTCACCTTACCAGTCTCCGTTCTTTATGATTTTTTGTTTGGTTGGATTTTTTATCACGTTCACAGCCTTGGCGAATGTTTTTTCTCTTTTCCGAAAATACCCCTCAATTATTAATTATTATATATAAATATACACATGCACAACGTATATATAGATTTATTTATATAATATTGTCGCATTGCATGGTCGTGCCTGAAATATTTTCTTACAAATAGAAAATTATATATACGCATGCACATGCACATGCACATACATATATATACATAAATATATAATATTGACGCATTGCATGGTAGTGCGTGAAAGATTTTCTTACAAAAAGAAAACACGGAAATATTTGTAAAAAGCTCTTATTACATTTATTGGTAAAGGTCGTTGACACATATTGACAAATTGGCTTAATCTTTTATGAACTTTTTCAATTCCTAAATCCCATACGCATTGAATGAGCAATAGAAACAGAATAGACGGCAATGCTTATTGGTTGCTACTTCTTCTTCTTCTTCTTTTTTCTTTTCTTTTCTTTTTTTTTTTTTTGGCTGAGTTTATTGCTACAAAGGATTGATCAACTTGACTTTACTTTTATTCTAACAGAAAAAAAAAAGTTGACTTTACTTTTAGTACAAAAATGATTTTTATTGTTAGGGATCACTTTTATTTATTTTCGTGATATAAAATCCAAAAAATATATCTCTAATTTTCATTTTTGTGAGAATTATTTTTGAGTTGATTTACTAATCAATCTCAACCTGCATAAAATTATCATACTATTTGAGAAAAAAAAATTAGCATACCAATACACTTTTTTATTTTTATTTTTGATAATTGGAACTTTGATCAAGGTGTTGATCACATACCAATACACATGTTAATTTTCATCAAGTTGTTGAACACGCTACTTTTATTTTTTGAAAAATAAAAACATAAAAATAGTATATAGTATTAGAGCTGCCTTAATACGTACATGGATAGTGGCGCAGTACTATTTGTTGGTCTAATTAAATAAATCATATTATGAGTTATCTAATATTTTAGCATGTATTATTATATGAATCTAATTGTGCATGTCGTTGTGAATACAAAATCACAGGAATCACATAACAACCTTACTAATCAACTCCATTTATGTTGTTGTTATTATTATTATTATTTTGCTAATAATTACTACCACTCCACTTTTTAATTTCTCTAGATTGAAACATCACTATAATTACTAGAAATATTGCTATGCTTTATACCCTCTAATTTACTTTGTTTCATATTCATTTTTTAACCATCAACACATAATGTAAGGGTGACAGTTTGGGTCATGACACGATAATACGATTCGAAAACCGCAAGGAGTTAATTAATTTGAATTTATTGTAAATGAATTTGGGTTATAAACGAGTTGACACGATTAACATAATCAATAAATATGATGGGTTAGTGTTGACCTTCTGACATGAAGTAACCCAAATTGACAAGATTAACTATATGTGTTACTTGTAAATTAATTATATATGATATAATGTAAAAGTTTATATTAATATATAAGATGAATTTCAAAACTTTGAGGTTAAATTTTCTTGTTTTCTTAAAAAAAAAGATAAATACACCAATAAAATTGTTAAATATACCATAATAGTGTTAAAATTTTAATTCTACTAATTATTTATTCAATATATTATTTTAAATGGGTGACGCATATTGACACGATTAACATGAGAATTATTTACAGAAATGCCTATTTATAACATCTTGAATCTAAAAATACTTACTTATTATTTTATTTACAAAAATACTTATGTCATACCTATAAAGACGTTTATATCCTTACATACTAAAAAAAGAAAAAAACTAATGAATCAATATAATGAATATTTAGGTTTAAATACAAAAAGTCAAAGAATTAAATTTAATGAAACCTAATTATTTCAAGAAAAGGAAACTTTCTTTAAACAAATAATAAAAAAAAGCACCTATCCAATTTTTTTTAAATAAAAACCAAATAAGTCTGCACAAAGTAGCAGACAAAATCCTAAAACGGCAACCTAATTATATCAAAAAATGAAAAAATTGCGATAAACACATAAACCAAGTTATATACAAGAAAAGAAAATAACATTAAAAAATCTCTCACATTTTTATTATTTTAATGATGAATATCATTATGAAAAAGAATGAATACAAAGTTTTGTAAGCAATCTGAAAGGTATTAAATATGATAAATAATAAAAAGTTTTCATTATAAAAAAGAATACAAGTTCTACGCTAACAACAAAACTAAAGAATAGAAGTTTTATGATAAGGACAAAAATAATAGAAAAAATGCATTAAATATGATAAATAATAGAAGTTGTCATTATTATAAAGAATAAAAGTTTTATGATAATGATAAAAATAATATTAATAAGATATTAAATATGTGCACCAAAATGTGAATATAAGCATGATCGTAAAGAATTAATGTTTTATGATAATGACCGAGATAATAAAAAAAAAAAACATATTAGATAAGCGTATGACACAGCTAATAAAAAAAGGTGTTAAAAATGTACAACAAAATGTGAAAACAAGCATCGCCATAAATAATAGGTCAAAAGGTTCATAACAGCTATACAGAAGAAAACATAAAAGATGTTTGTGAGCATGAAAAATATGAAAAATTCACGTCTAAAATGAAAAAAAAAAAAAAAAAAAAGAGAGGAAAAATCTATAATTTAAAAATGATATCAGTTTAAAATCAAAAAGTTATTATAGAATAATAATTGGGTTAAAATGGTAAAAACCCAAAATTATGAAAATATCACCATATAAAGAACATGCTTAAAATAATAAATAGGGGTATCTCCGGCATTACATGTGCTTTATTATTATTCAGAAATACGCATTTATATAATATTAAAAATAAGTAGGTATTTTTAGATTGAAAGCTTTGAAAGTAGGCATTTTGCGTAATTATTTCTTAAGACGATTAATAAATGGGTCGGATTTAAGTTGACATTTTTGATAAATTTAATAAATGAGTTGTGTTTAATTTGATGTTCTCTGATATAATTAATAAACGGGTTGGACATAAATACGAACTATTATCACGAATTGCCACCTTATTAGACGCACTCATTTATTTAAATAGTTTTTTAATCCTTTCAAATAAAAAAGTAAATTTTTTTGAAAACAGGTTTAGTGATAATATTTTTGGCTTTTTAATATATACACAACTATAGTTATCAAGTGTTTTTTTTTTTTTTTTGTTTTTGTTCTTTTATTTTAAATAGAAAAAATTACTAAACATGTTTTCATTTAAAAATTAAGAAAAATAACAAAATAAAAGAAAACGATTTTGTTTTATTTTAAACTAAGGGATTGTTTGGTTGGGAGATTCATAATTCACTACAGTATTTTCTCTCAAAAAAATACACGTAAATAAAAAATGATTCTAATTTATGAACTAAATGTCTCCTAAAAAATTTAAAGGCAAACCGTTAGATAAGGGCTTAAATATCGTTCATCATAAGTGGTGAAGGGTATAATGGTACATACACTCCAGAGATTAGCAGCACAACAGCTCACATTAACGGTATCTCTCTCTCTCAATTAACAAAAAAAAAAAAGACACGGTCTCTCTTTCTCTCTCTCTCTCTCTCTCTCTCTAAAACAGTGATTACATAACAGCAGCAGAGACTTTTATAAGACTTGTTTACTTGCTTGCGAACGGAGGCTCTCACTTTCACTTTCACTTTCACTTCCCACTTGCCGTGTGTAAAGACTACGGCCCACTCACGAGCCACTCTCTCTCTCCTCTATATCTCTCTATATCTCTCTCCCTCCTCTATCTCTCTCTCCCTCTTCCTGTATTTCTTTTCTCGTGTGCAGATCTCACATCCCAAACTCAAAACACATCGAAGCAATTAAGGAACTAAATCTGCGTAAAAGCAATGGAGTCCATTGCCAGGCTCACCAGCTTCGCCGTTTCGCTTCTCTTCTTACTCTCTTGCTTATCTTTCACTTCCACAGGTCAGTCAGTAGTCACTGCTCACTTACGCAGATTCTTTTTTCTTTCTGAAAACATCCATTTTCTAGTTTTTCTATTGTTTTCTACATCTGGGTAGTGCTTCATTTCCCTAGATTTGTTATAGATTTGCTGAAAGTTTTGATGAATTGAAGGATTAAATTTGGTGGGATCAAGTGAAATCTCAGATTCTTCGAGTGGTGAAATACTCAATGATGTAGAAGGAAACAAGATAAAAATTAACATTTTTCATGATTAACAAATTGCATATATATATGTGTACATATTTTTTGAAACTGTTACATACCCGAATCTCATCCCACCGACAATGATATATAGATCCGGAAAGAAACTGATGAGTCTGATGTTGATTGGAATAGTTAGTATACTATGAAATTTATTGCTTTTAAGTATATAAAAGACTATAGTTTTCAATTTCAAATATTGTTGGAATTTTCACTTCTTTTTTTTTTTGTCATTTTTTTTTCTGCAGAAGCGTATGATGCACTTGATCCAACTGGGAACATCACTATCAAATGGGATGTGATGAGCTGGACTCCTGATGGCTATGTTGTAAGTGTGAATTAGTAAACAGATTTTAATTTTTTATTTTTTGGCAATTAAAAAATGAAATTGGAAGCAGGCAATGGTTAATTTTGATTCAGATTTAGATCATTTTTGTTAGTTGCATGTGTATGTTGGGTCTTTCTGTTTCCCTGTAGTCCTTACTTGAATGTTTAACATGTTGGTGCAAAATTTCGTCCAACACCAGAATAACGTTTTCTTGAACGTGTAATCCGGATCAAATAAACACTTTAACTAAAAACATAGTGTGAGCGGCTAGATGAACGCCATGAACTATGCAAAAACAAATAAGAAATAATTATCGGAGTCCAAGGACGTTCTTTTGGTGTTGGACGAAATTTTGCACCAGCATAACCTAAAGACCACTTTTTAGAATATAGTTCTGTATTAACTTTAATTGGTCGGGAATTTCATGGTTGCTCATATGGTAAAATGATATTTTTGTCTTTGTTTTGTTTTGTTTTTTGTTTTTTATCACCTTGTTTTGCTATTTTCCTGAATTTTCTGATATGGCATATTATGTTTGAATTGGCAGGCTGTTGTTACAATGTATAACTTCCAGCAGTATCGCCACATACAAGCTCCGGGTTGGACATTGGGGTGGACATGGGCGAAGAAGGAAGTAATTTGGAGCATGGTGGGAGCACAAACCACGGAGCAAGGTGATTGTTCGAGATTCAAAGGGAACGTCCCGCATTGCTGTAAGAAGGATCCGACAGTTGTTGATTTGTTGCCGGGAACTGCTTACAACCAACAGATTGCAAATTGCTGCAAAGGGGGAGTCCTCAACTCTTGGGTCCAGGATCCAGCCAACGCCGCAAGCTCGTTCCAGATCAGTGTGGGTGCTGCGGGGACAACTAACAAAACTGTCAAGTTGCCGAAGAATTTCACGCTCAAAGCACCAGGGCCTGGCTACACTTGTGGACCCGCTAAGATCGTAAGAGCGACTAAATTTATCACTGCAGATAAGAGGAGAGTCACCCAAGCTTTGAGTAAGTACTAATCTTTTCAAAAGAATTGAAAGGATTAAAAAAAAAAAAAATTGAGGAGTTTTTTACAGTGATTTACCATTTGCTCTGGACCGACTAAATCACGCTGGTACAGGCATCTAAAAATCTTGGAGGGACTAATGTGCGTTAAAGACTAGGAAGATGCCAGAAGACGAAAACAACAATACATAGATGATTCAATGCAAGAATATTTTTCTAACTTAGAAATAACAGAATCTGCTGGAAGCACTTAGGTTTGTAATTTACTATTCCTAGCTACTGTACTCTTTTTTCCTTCGCTAAGGTTTTGTCCCGATCTCCCCACGGGTTTTACTTAGCAAGGTTTTTAACGAGGCAATTATTTATGTGTACTCCTATTACGTCAATTCAATAAAATCACATCTTTTGGGGCATTTGATATTTTTTTTAATTAAATTAAAAAAAAAAAGGACCGGGGCCGGCCCGTGAAGGGCCTGGGCCCTGGCACGGCCCTAGCCCTTATGGACTAGGGCCAGGGTCTGGACCGGGCTGGAGTGTTTCTTCTCAGGCCCGGCCCAGGCACGACCCTACACTGTGCAGGGCCGTGCCTGGCACGGCCCAGGCCCGTGATGGGCCTGGGGTCAAGCGTGCCGTGCCGGCCCCGCACAACACGTTTGACAACACTACTTCCGCATGAAGGAGATCTCACCGGAGAACTGAGATCTCCTGCGCATAAGGGTGGCAATTCATGTCACGTGTCGTGTTCGTGTCGTGTTTTGATCGTTTCTTTCTAAATTTACAGTCAACCCGAACACGACTCGTGACACGAAATTTTTTAAAAGCCGCAACACGAACACGACATGATCACTTTACGAGTTGACACGACACGACCCAAAAATGACCCATGACACGAAATTGACCCGTGAACCCAAAATTGACACGAAAATTGTATACTTTTATTTAGTTTTTTACATATTAAAAATAACTTAAAATTCATAACACACTAAATTACAATAACATCCATTGAAATTAAGCAAATAATAGTATAAGATTTTGAGTATAATTATCATGATATCACAAGTTCATAATAAAATTTAAAATATGCAATGAAAAATATATGTATTTTTTAGTTTTTTACGAGTTTCGTGTCGTATTCGGGTTAGGCGGGTCTAACCCGAAATTGACCCATGTTTTTCGTGTCAATTTCAGGTCGATCCAATTCTGACCCGAACATCTTTTTTCTCAACCCTAACCCGTAAAATTTGTGTCATTTTCGAGTCGTATCGTCGTATCGTGACCCATATTACCGGCCCTACCTGCGCACATAACAAAACAAAACAAGAAAAGTGAGAAAACCTGCTTAGTACGGTCAACGACCACTGCTTGTCAAAATTGAGTATAAGATATCAACGGTCTCTAGTCGGCAATCATAAAGTATCACAATAAAATACTGTGATTTCCAATTAGTGACCGCAAAGTATCATTGTAGGAGACCAATGATCACCTACCGATTGTTGCCAATCGTTGCGGGTACTTACTTAGTATCATTGTAAGATATCAATGGTCAGTACAGAGACCACCTTATATTGAGACTCAAAATTTTGAGGATTCATTTTTAATTCCTAATTTCTTTTCTGAACTTTTAGTCACTTTATAAGAAAAACTAAAAGTGTGCCTTAACTCAAAGATTAAAATATATAATTATGCCCCTATTTAACGATAATGGCTATAATCAATACGTCAATAGGACATTAATTAGAAATATATTTATTTTAGATGTGTTGGTGTGATATACTATAAAAACAACCTCTCTCAAGGAAAAAAAAAAAAAATCCAAACACAATAGCCCATGGCAGTTCTATTAAAGCCATGGTGAGCTAGACATTAATCAAGTTTGAAGAGAAATTCAAAATTTTTGAGAGAAAACGTTTTAGTAAAATAGTTTTTAGCTATAGTGGTTGTAGGCATAATTTTACGGTAATTTCATACTTACTCTACTATAAGATGAAGAGTTCGAATCTCCTCGCCCTAAATTCAAAAAATAAAAAATAAAAGAAAAAAATGTGCCTCACCAAACAACAATTTTCGTTGAAATTTTAAGGGAGATATACAAAATGACACTCAAAAAATATTATGTTTACATTTATGCTACCCCAATGACAAAATTTAATATCTAATGTCATTAAATTCATGAGAAAGTTTCCTACTAGGATACTAAAATTATCCTACCGGGTTATTTTTCCTACTTTAGGAAGATGACCAAACATCTTCGGTTTGATGTTCAAAGAGTATTATGATTGAATATTAAAATCAACAAATATAGCCAAAGCTTAGATAATGTAAATCTAAAATTGATGGATTTTGATGGTATACTGAGTACTTTTTCTCACAAAGTACCTCGAGTTGTTGAAAAGGCTCTATTTCAATAGACTTTAAATATAACAAAATTTTAAAAAATATTACAAGAATAGCAAAATTTTAATATCATTAAAACAATGACTATGTCATTATATAGTATAAAATCTAACATTATAATTATAATGACTATGTGGTCATTTAAAATATGACAAAAATAATAAAATTTTAATATCATTAAAATATAATTATATCATTATATAGTATAAAATTTGATCTATTATGACAATGACTATGTCATTTTTACTATATTTATAATATTTTAAAAATTTTGTTAAATTTCAACTCAAAATATAAAATTTTGCCATGTAGTGTAATTATCTTTGGGGTAATCTTGACAAATATCCTTTGAAAGTGCATGAGTCGAGATTTTTACCTTTATTCTTAATTCATAACCTTTTTAGTCAAATAATTACATTAATAAAATAATATTTATCAAAAATAAAGAGTAAAGATCAAGACTCGTACACTCTTAATAGTAAATTCACAATTTTTATTTCATTTTATTATTATTATTATTATTATTATTATTATTATTTTATTTTTGCGTTGTTGAAATGAACAGCCTCAAATGTGCCCAATTTTTAGAGTAATATTAAGGGAGAAAGAGAGAAATATGTCAAAATTTGAGATGAATTAAAATTAAAAGGCTAATAGTTTATATAAGTTAATAAATAGACTAAATTACTATTTTCGTCTATAATTTAGTTATGAATCATAACTTGATAAGTTATTGTCCATAACTTGTCTGGCTATAGCCTTTTGTCCGGTTGTTACCTGCCTTAGCCTAAGACCCGAAACGCACCAGAAACGAAAATCTTCAGGAGAAGAACTCGGAAGAAGAAGATGATATATAAGAAATGGAGCTTGTTAACACTCCCGGCGGCGTAGGGGCCACCGTAGCGCTCGCTAGCTTTGTCGTCTTCCAAACAGCCTTTTGTCCGGTTGCTACCTACGTTAGCCTAAGACTCGAAACGCACTAGAAACGAAAATCTTCAGGAGAAGAACTCGGAAGAAGAAGATGATATATAAGAAATGGAGCTTGTTAACACTCCCGGCGGCGTAGGGGCCACCGTAGCGCTCGCTAGCTTTGTCGTCTTCCAAAACGTAATCTTATTCTTAATTCATAACCTTTTTAGTCAAATAATTACATTAATAAAATAATATTTATCAAAAATAAAGAGTAAAGATCAAGACTCGTATACTCTTAAAAGTAAATTCACCATTTTTATTTCATTTTATTTTATTATTATTATTTTATTTTTGCGTTGTTGAAATGAACAGCCTCAAATGTGCCCAATTTTTAGAGTAATATTAAGGGAGAAAGAGAGAAATATGTCAAAATTTGAGATGAATTAAAATTAATAGGCTAATAGTTTATATAAGTTAATAAATAGACTAAATTATTATTTTCATCTATAATTTAGTTATGAATCATAACTTGATAAGTTATTGTCCATAACTTGTCTGCTGTAGCCTTTTGTCCGGTTGTTACCTGCCTCAGCCTAAGACCCGAAACGCACCAGAAACGAAAATCTTCAGGAGAAGAACTCGGAAGAAGAAGATGATATATCGGAAATGGAGCTTGTTAACACTCCCGGCGGTTCTCGGCGGCGTAGGGGCCACCGTAGCGCTCGCTAGCTTTGTCGTCTTCCAAAACGTAATCTTATTCTTTCATTCCAAATTCCCCAATAACACCCCTTTTCTTATGATAATATATATTTTGAGCAGATTATTTTCTCTACATGATTCTTTTAAGTATATGATTTTCTTGGGATTCTTTTCTGATTTGATTATTGTGATCTTGGTAATCTGATTTGATTTAGTCTAGGGCATGGTTTTTTCTGGGATCTAGATTACTTAGGGTTTCGAAGTCACCGGTGAAGGGTTTTTTTTTTTTTTTTTTAAATTTAAGCTCTATTTTGATGCGGAGAAAAACGGAAGATAACAGATTGGAACTGAGAATTTCCTATATTCTGTATTGTTTTCGTTTGGTTAATCGTGCTTTTGGAATTTTCTTATATGCATCCATCAAATTCTGTGCGCTATTGAAGTTTTCAATGCTTGTTTGCGAAGTGGAAAATGTAAGTTGATTGTGAGTTTTGTTCATTTGTGAGGTAATTACTGTATGTTATTGTTGATTATCATTTTTATTAATTTTGCTCTTTTTAGGGCTGAGATTTGGTGTTTCAATATATAAGATCCTGCGAAAATTGATATTTAAATTCAATAAGAAACCCCTTTAGTCTTCTGTATGAGCGCAGATATATGTGGCCAATAATAGTGCTCATTGTTGAAGCTATTGAAGAAGAGTTCTAAAATATAACTATGAATGAAATTCTGGGATTTTGCTTGTCATGTGAACTAGTTTATATGTTGTTCTAAATTAAGATTTCCCAATGATAAATGATTCACCAAACTAAGACGTAAACTTTCTGGGGGTTTTCTCTGCCTTTTTTTTTTTGGTTGGCTTTTCAGTTCTTTGTTTCTAAATTCTAATGGCATGATTTCTTGGGTATATGTTGGAATTTTGATTGGAATTTGGGACTCTGCCCTTCAACAGCATCTAATTTGCATTTCTTGATTTGCAGAATCCATTTAGTACTCTAAAGGAAAAGATCCCGGATTCAGTTCGCAGTGAGGCAGCGACCAAGTGAAAGGATGAAGGTGAACAACGTTTGTGTTTCTGCCATGTTGGTTCTGTATTTTGGGACATGATTTTGTAGTTAATAATTTCAAATGGAAGTGAAGTTCTGATATTGGTGTGTTTTTCTCGAGTTTTACTGCAATAATAATTTGAAATTGGAATCGAGTTCTGATCTGAGATTGATTTCTCTACTTATTTTCTTTCATGAATAACCCCCACGACTGATATTTACTCTCATATCTCCAGAGGCGAGGATTCGTTTATATTATCGCTCCGTTGATATGATAGTACCTTAAGGATTTTTTTTTTTTTTTTTTGGTGTCTTCTTTTTTATACATCATATGTGTAACTCGTTAAATTCGAATTGCATCTGAAGAAATGACATAGACAAACATTTTTATTAGCACTTTTCTTGTTTGGGCGTCTCAAAGAACCTGCTACAATTGGGTAACAGAAAAGCTAGTTTAAGACTTTAAGTTAGTAGAGAACAGGAGATTATCTAAGAGAAATGGCTAGAGATTGACAATACAAGGGTTCACTTTCATGTTGTAATCTGTGTATTATTTATTCATCAAAAAAAAATCTGCTCTTTTGATATTTAGTTCAAGTCGTGTGATATTACAAAAGGGATCCAATTTTTTGGCAGCATAGCATAAAAAATTAAAAAAAAATCGAAAACACGTACAATCACTGTTCCATCTCAACGTATTATTTTCTTACTCTTAAAAAAAAAATTGAAAACACGTACAATCACTGTTCCATCTCAACGTATTATTTTCTTACTCTTTAAGATGCCAAACCACCAGTGCAAAAGTTTGATAACCCTTTTTTTTTTAATAAATAGAAGACGCTCATTTTATCTACCCCTACCGTTCTGATTATGAAAGTTATGAATTATGCTTAGAATCTCAATCCTTTTGATCACTGATATTTGTCACCATTGACCAACAATTCCATAACCAAATCATTCCAAGAGTCTATTGGCCCAGGCAAGCACCAATGTAGACAATCATTTTGAACTTTAGCATTTTTGTCCTCAGCCAATGGATGGAATTGTCTGTACGGACCAGGGTGGCCATCGGGCCTCAGCAAAGAAAGACTGGTTGTGTCTAATAGCCTCAAAACAACCCCATTTTTGGAACCAATTTCTGCAGCCTTTTTAAATTCTTCCAGCTCAATATTTCTCATCACTGTATCGACATCTTTCATATCAACCTCACCTTCTTTAAAGGGCACTGTTCTGTTACAATACCCTCCGCTGAACCATTCTCCATTTTCAAAGTGATCGGGTGTGGTAGTTCTAAGGAAAGCAAGAGGCTTATGCTTGGAAGATGTGATGAAGTTAAGAACTAGCTGGAGCGCTTTGCGATAGGCGTATTCAAACCCTAGATCGGTCAGGTTCTTCCCGGGGCAGAAATGGCAGCCCGATACAGTGTCATTTTCGTGGAAAATCGCGGTTTTGAGGAACCATTTGCCGCCGGCAATCACTACATAATCTAGGCTCTCATACTGATCAGTCCATACCTTGTCAAGCTTGTCGAGATAAAGCTGGATTTCGGAAGTCGATATTCCATTCATGTCTTCAAAAATAGTGGCCTTGATGAGGAAAGGAGTCCAAATAACCGAAAGCGTGAAGTTGTGAGAAGGGAAATGCCATCTCTTGGACCGGTATTCTTCGTCATGGTACACCTCAACAGCTTGTTCCACCTGTGGGACACAATTCGCTGAAATTTCATCAGACACCCATTTGTGGGACCTTACAATCACAACCATTCAACCAACATATGATATTTGTTGTTATGCAAACAAAACATAGATCAATAATTGGAGATAGTGAGACTACTCTTAAAATGTCAGGTTTAGGTATGGCTTGTAGGACCTCGTCTATCTATAGGACAAAACCAGAAGTAAGAATATACACTGTTGTGGACCTGTGGTTGAAATATAACCAGATTTTCATATTAAAGATACAACTCAAACAGAAACAGATAGAATACCAACAAAATCTAGACATGGAGAATATTGCAGAGACGCAAAACAAAAGGCATATACAGCTTTTTGTAACTTTAAAATTATTGGAAACTTTAAACAGGCACCAACACAAGAGTTGGTATTTGAATTGGTATCCTTAGCATTACTCTTTTCCTGTCCTCAGTGAATAATATTAAGGACACCAACTCAAATCTCAATTCTTATGTACCAACTGATGTGGCATAGAAGTTATTATTTTTACATTGGTGGTTGTTTTCTTTTTTTTTTCTTGAAAAATTAAATGAATGGTTGACATTAAAAGATGCTAACATCTATAGCTGAGATTAATCTAGGGTAGTTTTATTATTTTATTTAAAAATTAAGGCATTAAAATACCAATTTTACCTTTTTTCTATAAGTTTTTTAACAAAAGTTTGTTAAAGGGAGTTAAATGCAACAATTTTGCAAGTTGAAGGGAGTGATTGTCAAAATTAAAAGTTGGGGAAGCAATTTACTAAATCACGACAAGTTCAGGAGGCAAATGTGTCAAAAACCCCGTCAATTGATAATAAAATATTGCATTTACTAATAAAAAGATGACAACTCAAATGCCCCACTAAGAGTTGGTATTTAAGTTAGTGTTCTTAGCAATTCTCTTCCTTGGTATAAGCAACTTTTAAATTTTTAATTTTAGTGAAATCCTACTCAGAACGAAACAAAGAAATTAAAAAATTCCAGCTTGGATAGCAAACTAATGAGATGCTAATAATTGCACCGCAAGAGAGTAAAAAAGGGTTGTTATGTATTTATTCTCAATAATTACAGATCTAGGGAAGACATGGAAACGGAAAAAGTAATAATGATTGTTTACATAGTAGGTAAACCTGCCAAGAAAGGACGCCACAACCAATTAACAAGAAGCATTTGACCGTAAAAGTCGAAGCTGTAGTCCACAAACGACAACAAAAATTACATCCTTTAATGGATGCAGCATCGATAACAAGTTAGACAAAGACGTGGTAGGGAAGCTAAACCATGGAATCCCTTTTAGATAAGAGGATATGATGAATTAATTAAAATAAATAGTGTGAAGACATGATTTAGAAAAACAGAACAAAACAAAACAAAAAATCGTGTGAAGACATGAAAGACTTCTAGGTGAAAGAAATAGAATAATAGATTAGTTTTTAGCTCACAAGTCATAACCGACAAATGTACCGACAACATAATTTACTTCTCTGGGGCCACAATATTCAATTCCCGAAGAAAAAAAATAGCAGCTAAGTTTTCATGATTTGTGTAAAGCTTCCATGATGGTCAAGAAGGAGCATAAGACTTTGCGACGTTGATGCTCATAATAACAACAGCATTAAGCCAATTTTGGTTTATTTCTATATCAACTAATGAAGCAATATGAAAAGTAACCATTTATTCTTACGAGTTATTAAAAAAACAAAAAAACTATGAAGCAAACTTATAACCATATATTCTTTTAAAGGAGTTATAATTAGCCTCAAATATGAAAAGTAGAGTAAGTTTCAAATCTGATTATCATTGTGGTGGTTGAGGGTTAAATAAATATGTTCCATAGTATTTAAATATGAAAATAAACGTAAATTTATGAAGATATTAACTCACTCCACTACCTTTTAAGACGGAATACGAATATTATAGAAAAATCCCATTTCTGTTTGAAGAAGGGTAAAATAAATCCGGGAAGTTTAAATCTGACAATAACTCTATATTCACGTTGAATGTTGAAGTTCTAACTCCCAAGTCGAAATTCCCAATTCTCAATTTTTGTTTAAATAAAAAAAAAACAAATTTGATTATCACCTCCAATAGAGAAGTTCTTGTGTTCGAATCTCCTTCCTTAAATAATAATAATAAGAAAATTCAAAATAGATTAGAAGGGCTGGAAATTAGAATGTACCTGTGAAAGAATGCATAGCAATGATTGTACATGATTACGGGAAATGGAGTCACCAATGAAGGCCCATGATTTGTTTCTCATTAGATCAAGAAATTTCTGAGGGTCAAACCTGGGAATATCACAGCCCCTTGGACTCCATCTCCAGTAGAAGTAGCCTGAATCAGGCCGTCCATTCTTCATGCAATTTTGATGAGATTCAATCACACGGCAAGTCTCATTAGTGTATCTTTGACCTGATGAGTCCGGTATCCAATCTCCTTTGAATATGTCACATTTTCCTGCCTCTTGCTCTGCCTCTGCTTCTTCTGTCTCTGCAAATTTTTTTTTTTCATATTTAAATCAGCTACGAATACTAATGATGGATGTATGGTATTTCTATTTCGCATGCATAGAGAAGGAGGGCAAAAGTGTGAGACATTTTTCAGAGCTAGATTTTGCTTTTGAAGATAAAATGGTTCCCTTTTTTTTGGCATAATATTGAAGGCCAAACAGAATAAGCACCAAAGAGAATTTAACAATAACATGAGGAAAATCAAGGTGACAAATTCAACAAAGAGTAGAAAATAAATAAATAAATAAATAAAAATTCCTATTTCCCAACACCCAATGACTAAATCAATAAATGTATATTTAGAATTGAAAGATCTAGCTATGCTTAGAATATGGAATAACTATCTAAGAGCCATAAATCCTCAAACTTAACTCATTTAATCTGTTAAGAAAAGAATAAGAAAAAGAAAACAGAATTTTTATTTACCATTCTGAAATGTTTGGATTTCATTATCTGGAAGATCAAGAGGAAGAGGGGATTGATCAGGAGGAGGGGAAGTCTCAGCCACAGGGACAGGGGACTCTGTTTTCTGCTCTGCAAGAGAAGGAGTTTCTGCGGAAAATCTGAAGAAGGAATCCGAGAACAAGAGGCGAAATGCAAGACCCGTCAACAGAAAAGAAACCGCAAACTTGACCAAAACATGCTTTTGCTTGTGCAGAGACAATGGGCTCGAATCAAGTCTCATTTCCTTCACCATGTTGTATATAGAGAGAGAGAGAGAGAGAGAGAGTAAATATGTGTTAAGATTAGAAGCTTTTTCCAAAAAAGCCAACCAAGAAAACAGTGTTTTTAGCAGGAAGTGGTTTTGAAGGTTTAATGCAAACAACAGTGTCGTTTCTGTACATGAGATGTCAACAAGCCTCGGAAGTGACCTAAAAAAAATATGTTTTTTTTTTTTAAATTTTATTTTAAGAAAACTCGATAAATCTGCATTTCACTTGGATTCTTTCAACAAAATATGTACATACATACGAACATACATACGTACATATATGTAATAACACATGATAACAAATTGAGATATTAGGGATATGTCTCTTGGCTTACTTGGTTTTGTCCACTTTTAGAATTATGTTCTTTTAAAGTTAAATATATAATAATATCATTTTTTTTTGTTTTCGGATTTACAAAAAAAAAAAAGGGGTCTTTTTTTTTTTTAGGAAATATATAATGAGACAAGTTGAAGGCATAAATATTGTATTGTTTGAGAAAGAGTGACCTCTTGGGAAGGACATAATTTATGTCCCTGCAACAAATTAAGGGCATAATTTTCCAAAAGAAAAACAAAAAATCAGTTAGTAGTATACACTTCCATAATTACATTAAAAAATAACCTACAAAAATAAAAAATAAAAAAAAATCAGGAGGAGTTGAGTACTTCTCAAAGGATGTCCGGCGTAAAACGTGTAAAAAGTAAAACATATAACAAGATATTTATTCTTTGTAATAACGATTTTGAAAGGTATAACAAGAAGTTCTTCATGAATTAGCGTCCCAACCTTTTAAAAATCATTATTATATAGAATATATAAACTATGATGCACCTCATATCTCTTCATCACTAAAACTACTCAACTTATTGAATGAGTTGTTAAAATAATATTAATAGGAGAACTAACGAGACAGAAAAAATGAACCGCAGCTTTAAACTTTATAAACCTACCCTAATAAAAAAGAAATAGATCGAGAAACCCCATAATAATATTAATAAACTTTTTGAGGATTTTTTATTTTTATTTTTTTATGTGAGGCACGAGGTACATCTGCTCCCAAAGAAAAGAATATATGTCATGTGGCATCTTGTGCAAATTAAAATTCCGTTCACTTCGCTGATTTGAGTTTAGAATTCGAGTTTTGCTATAGTAAAAAGCTCTCACAAACAATCACATCTAACTTTTTTGCTACAGTAAAAAGCTCTCACATAAAATCACATCTCAACTCGAATCAGCGAACTAAACGGACTTTAAGAGTTTTTTTGCTCTCCATTTCTTTTTTGCTGCAAGTTGTAATGGGACACAAAACCGGATCTCATGCACATGTCCTGCCCTCATCTTCACACCTTTGGTCTTAATTTTGGAGTGAATATTTGATGGACTTAATACATGGCCACAGCTGGCTTGGAGCTTTTTAGCAATAAAGCAAACTTACATCATAATATATCACATGTGGACCACTTTTTATTCCTATTTTTCATTTTCTTGTTCAAGTTTTGGTTTTGGGCTAGAAGACATTAATGGAGATGGGACCACCCTTTTCCAAAACCATGCACACCTCTCTCTCTCTCTCTCTCTCTCTCTCTCTCTCTCTCTCTCCTTCTCTCTCTCTCTCTCTCTCAAGATAACTATAGTCTTGAAGTTCTAAACTGTGCATCTTGTTTTTAATTTTTTTTTCATCTTGTGTGTTGCTTCCAATATTGAATTAGACTCTAAAAATTGCGTCCAATATTGCATTAGACTCTAAAAATTCATTTAAGTACTTGTCTCAATACTTTTTGTTTATATCTAGCCCTCCTCTTTCATTACAATGACCTTGATCAAATCAAATTGCTTGCTTTGTTCGTATATTTGATTCTTTGAACATACATTTATTTCTCCACAGGAAATCAAGTGAGGTGCAACGTCCAACTATTGGGTATTAGGTCAATATCAACTTGAAAGGCCAAAATCCCCTACACACAAAAAAGAAACAAAAACAAGAGAGATTACTTGATTAAGACACCTAATCGGATTTGTGAACCATATATTTTAAATTAAAAAATTATATAAAACAGTTCGTGGACAAGAAGATGCTATCAATGCATGGTCATGACATCCTCGTGGTGCTAAACAATGAATGACAATTCTTATATTTTTATTATTTAAATTAACAAGGAAGGCATATCGTTTACTGAAAAATAGAATACTAGAATTAAGAATAGTCACTAAACAACAATTAGCTGTCTATGAAATTTGATTTAGGTACGACATGTTCGATTTCTTTTGATAAAAAAAAAAAAGGAAGAAGAAAAAACAGTAATAAATTAAGATTATACGTGTGTTTGAAGAGAGAGATCTTGTCTAAGAGAATAATCATTTAGCTTAGGAATTATTTTAAATTTGGCCTATTAAGAATAGAGGTTGTTTCGTTTTCCTCCTAACAATTCAAAATGTGACACAAAACACTCTCTTAAGCTTACAATAAGTTGCAACTTAAAACTTTTATTGTTGAAGCGTCAATTTTTAACCGACGTACATGTTGGTCAAGTAACTGCATGATAAAGGGAAATAAAGTAAATTTAAACAAAATAGACTTTAAACTTAAAAAAGTAGAAAAACAAATTCACAAATTCTTCCTCACACTAACCCTAGGCATCACCTCCTCCTTTGCTCACAACCCCTGCATCACTCCAATTTTTTTTATTTTTATCATGGTTTTCCAAGTAGCCACTTGATCAATACATGATTAAAGTTGTCAATAAAATGACATCTCATTGATAAAAGTATCAAAATTATAACTTAAGATAAAACTCAAAAAAAAATTTATGTCATTTTGAGTTGCAGAAGATAAAAAGAAACAACTTTGGGGCCAAATTAAAAACCCAATCCTTAGACGCCCAGATAAAAAAATCCTACCCCTCACGCCGCAACCTATCCCCCTAGTCCTCACTATCAGCCACCTTCCCTTACAACGTCATGACGGTCCACAATGTCGTCCCCTTTTGCAACGTGCATTGTCGCTTGTGATACGATGAGCTTCACAACCCACCGTCACGAAGCCGTTGCTTGCTAGACGAGATTTGCAACATATTTATAGTGTACAAGGGGCAAATGGCACATTTCAGAAAGTTTGTTCTCAAAACCACCTATTTTCTACCAAAATTTGAAAACCGGATATTTTAGACGCGTTTAGAACTCGTTCTAAAATGATTTTATTTTTTGTATGAAAATGAAAATGAAAACGTTTTCAATCTCAGACAGAAATCATTTTTAAAAATGCGTTTAGTAATTTTATAAATAGATTTTTTTCAGCATAAAAAACTCATTAATGTCTCTTTCTTTCTCTCTGCTCGAGAGAGGAGAAAATGAAAACAAAAAATGAAAAACGACTGAAGGTCATTTTTCATTTCTCTCTCATTTTATACTAAACCAAAAAATTATTTTCATTTCTCTTTTTTGTTTTTATTGCGCCAAACGTCGTTTTAAAAAAGTTTTCATTTTTCTCAAAAAACGTGAAAAATAAAAACGGGATCAATTCTAAACACATCCTTTGAAACCTGTTCTTTTGTTATAAATTCCCCATATAGATTGTATATTATGATATCTTTTGATTCGCAATTTAAACTATAATTTAAATTTTTTTACTACAATATTTATTTAAAAAATATATATGAGTTATGTTAAATGTTTTTGAATTTCTCAACCAAACGGGCAAAAAATTTACCCATATTTATTTTCTGGCCCGCCAGAGAAAGCTCTTGGGAGTAGGCTGAGACTGAAAAGGAGCTAACAAGCAAGGCCCTCTGAGCACCGCCATGATAAAGTTGTGGGCCCGCCATTGTTAAGTTTAGTGGGAGTTGAAGTATGGCATTTGCATCAGATAGACCCACATGATGACCATGATGTTATAAGAGACGACTATTGTACCATCGTTTCCCTTTGCGCATTTGCACTGAATACACCAATGATTGGTCTGCCTAATACCCTAGTCTATTTAGAACTTCGAATCCTTTGGAGTGCGTTTGTTTCAAGAGTTCTGGATAATTCAAACAATGGTTTTTAGTTCTATAACAATGTTTTTTTCTCACAAAAAATTAAATTTTAAAAGTCATAATTAAAATTACTGATTCAAACCCATTTTGTGTTAAAATATTCACATGTATTCTATCCCTCTTATTTTTCTTTGCGCCGCTTTTTGCTAGGGTTTCTTCTTCTCTCCCTCTTGCTTTTCTTTACGCCGTTTTTGCAGTGAGTTTTAAAAGGCCGAAGTCTGGCACCCATTTTGGGTGGGAGGAAAGGGTGGTGGACAAGGCTTTTTCGGTGTGTGCTTGGTTGCCCATTTTGGGCACATCTGTACGCCGGCAAAGTTCTACCCCCTGTGGTGCACTGCAGCGACCAGAGATAGAGGTAGAGGTCGCGCTTTTCGCTGCAGGCTAGGGACGTGTGGATGCCTTGGTGTTGCTGCGTTATGGGGGTTTTGGCCCTAGTGGGGTGGCGGCTCAATGGGTGAAACATTTTCCTTGGTTAGCGGCGGTGGGTGGCAGCAGTGGCTTGGCCTTTTTTCAGCGTTATATTTATAATGTACAAGGGGCAAATGGCACATTTCAGAAAGTTTGTTCTCAAAACCACCTATTTTCTACCAAAATTTGAAAACCGGACATTTTAGACGCGTTTAGAACTCGTTCTAAAATGATTTTATTTTTTGTATGAAAATGAAAATGAAAACGTTTTCAATCTCAGACAGAAATCATTTTTAAAAATGCGTTTAGTAATTTTATAAATAGATTTTTTTCAGCATAAAAAACTCATTAATGTCTCTTTCTTTCTCTCTGCTCGAGAGAGGAGAGAATGAAAACAAAAAATGAAAAACGACTGATGGTCATTTTTCATTTCTCTCTCATTTTATACTAAACTAAAAAATCATTTTCATTTCTCTTTTTTGTTTTTATTACGCCAAACGTCGTTTTAGAAACGTTTTTATTTTTCTCAAAAAATGTGAAAAATAAAAACGGGATCAATTACAAACACATCATTTGAAACCTGTTCTTTTGTTATAAATTCCCCATATACATTGTATATTATGATATCTTTTGATTCGCAATTTAAACTACAATTTAAATTTTTTTACTATAATATTTATTTAAAAAAATATATATGAGTTATGTTCAAGCTTTTTGAATTTCCTAACCAAACGGGCAAAAAATTTACCCATATTTATTTTCTGGCCCGCCAGAGAAAGCTCGTGGGAGTAGGCTGAGACTGAAAAGGAGCTAACAAGCAAGGCCCTCTGAGCACCGCCATGATAAAGTTGTGGGCCCACCATTGTTAAGTTTAGTGGGAGTTGAAGTATGGCATTTACATCAGATAGACCCACATGATGACCATGATGTTATAAGAGACGACTATTGTACCATCGTTTCCCTTTGCGCATTTGCACTAAATACACCAATGATTGTTATGCCTAATACCCTAGTCTATTTAGAACTTTGAATCCTTTGAAGTGCGTTTGTTTTAAGAGTTCTGGATAATTTAAACAATGGTTTTTAGTTCTATAACAATGTTTTTTTCTCACAAAAAATTAAATTTTAAAGGTCATAATTAAAATTACTGATTCAAACCCATTTTGTGTTAAAATATTCACATGTATTCTATCCCTCTTATTTTTCTTTGCGCCGCTTTTTGCTAGGGTTTCTTCTTCTCTCCCTCTTGCTTTTCTTTACGCCGTTTTTGCAGTGAGTTTTAAAAGGCCGAAGTCTGGCACCCATTTTGGGTGGGAGGAAAGGGTGGTGGACAAGGCTTTTTCGGTGTGTGCTTGGTTGCCCATTTTGGGCACATCTGTACGCCGGCAAAGTTCTACCCCCTGTGGTGAACTGCAGCGACCAGAGATAGAGGTAGAGGTGGAGAGGTCGCGCTTTTCGCTGCAAGCTAGGGACGTGTGGATGCCTTGGTGTTGCTGCGTTATGGGGGTTTTGGCCCTAGTGGGGTGGCGGCTCAATGGGTGAAACATTTTCCTTGGTTAGCGGCGGTGGGTGGCAGCAGTGGCTTGGCCTTTTTTCAGCGTTTCTTTGGCTTGCTTGCAGTATTGCGGCTCCCTTGCTCGTTGACGGCGGTGGCTGACTTGTCAGATTCGGCCAGTGTCATTTGGGCTTTACCCTTTTGTTTTGTTCATGTGCTTGTCAAATAAAGGCATTGATGTTTCGGCCATTTAGTTTTAGTGTGTTTATGTTGTGTTGTTTGGTTCCGGAGGTGGTTCCCCCACCGTCCAGTGTTGTTTTTAGGTCTAGTCCGCAAGTTTTTCTTTATGGTGTTGTTGTAGGCCCCGACGCTTTTAGTCTCTCGATCTCAATCAATCAAAGTTATCCACATATTATAGTGATGTGTTTAAAACAGTCATTTGTGTGCTCGCTTAGTTGTGTCTTTTCGGTTTCCTCTCTTTCGAACTCAATACACGTATTACCTTAGAGTGCTTCAATCGAATTTAGAGTGCTTCAATCTAGGGCCGGCAATTTCTGACACGACACAAAAACGACACGAGATAAATGGGTTTAGACTGCACGATTATTAATTGGGCCATTAACGGGCTGGCATGAATAACACGAAAATAAACGGACTGAATTCATGCCAGCCCGTTTAACACGCTTAACCCGTTTAATTATACGGGTCATTATCGTGTCGACACGACCCAGCCCGGCCCGACC